ATGGATTCAAGTAAGTTTTAAGATTTAATCGCCCAAATTTAAGGGTGGTCATTATTCACGAGTGGGTGATATAGTCGAATACTTACGGTATTTTTATTTTTTGCAGCAGTTTTGTTAACTACTAGTTGGAATAATGGACGATTACGTGTTTCGATCACGAGGAAAAAGAGAGAAAAGTTGTTTTAAGTGAGAAAATGAAAGAAAGAAGAGAATATAGAAGTGGAGGGAGAGAGAGAGAGAGAATGGGATTAAATTTATAAGAACAGATACTACACTTTGATCTTATTCTTTTGGTGACTACTGTAAAAACGCCATTTTTCTGAGGCACATATCGAACGACGGAAAATCGTGTAAGACAATCGTCTAAAATACAATTAAAATAAATGAAATAAATAACATCGTTTGCTGAAGTATTTTTAAATTATTATTATTAATTATTATGGGAAATATTCGTAAGACGGGGATTTGCCTAGAAAGAAAGAAATACGTGAAGATAAAAGTATTTAACGTCTCCTGCCAATACCTTATAAATAATGGACGATTCACTTTTGATCGCGTAGAAAGAGAGATAAAATGAGAGAAAGAAATAAAGAAATTAAGATAGAAGTGTTTAACGTCTGTTTCAGTGAAATGGGAAAAGTTGTCAATTGGAAATCTTTTCATTTGTACCGGCTTCTAAAAATAACGAAAAGCATTCATATTTAAGATTGTTATGGCGATATTTTGTTAAAGTTGTTAAGCTCAAATATTTAACGATGTGATAGGGGAATTCATGCGGATATCTTATTATCGTGGAACTCGTCATGAGCTTAGACAAGCATTAACTTAAGAATTAAGATTCAGGAGAATATTAAAATAGGAAAACCTTGAAATTTTCACGGGTTAAAACTAGTATAAAATTAATACCGGATTGTACGGTGAGTAGTGGATTACGCCAGAGATAGGCTTATTTGTTTTTAGAATCGACTAACAATACCAACTGATTTTAGAGGGGGTTTTCCCCGCTCTGCTTGCGACTTGAGCCTAATATTAATTTCAAACTTGATTGGAGAGAACTCTGAAACAAGCTATGCATTAATAAAAACAGGTAATACTAACAGATATATACTGAAAAAGAGACTCGCCGCTTATCTATAGCTAGATATATCATAAGCCTAATTTAAATATGTGGAGAATATATATATATATATATATATATATATATATATATATATATATATATATATATATAGAGAGAGAGAGAGAGAGAGAGAGAGAGAGAGAGATAGATAGATAGATAGATAGATAGATAGATAGATAGATAGATAGATAGATAGAAATACATACTTACTTGGCACCTGTGCTCCGGCCCTGTGCTGGTGGTATCATGGCTACGACTAGCTTGGACCGGCTCTGGCCTGGACCATCTATGACACGCCAAGACCAGCTATAACTAGCTTAGACCTGCTTTGACTAGCTTGGACAAGCTATGACCAGCTAAGACCAGTTTAGACCAGCGGCTCGAGTGAAAACACTCGGGTCCCCACGTTAAAAACTGACCTTGTGTCACAACCTTACTCAGTGGGAGGGGGGGTCAAGTAAATATCTAGAGAGAGAGAGAGAGAGAGAGGTACAGAGAGAAGTATCCAGGCGTTTGAGAGCAAATGCATGAGAAAACTCCTTGGCATTTTCTATTGGGAACAAAAAACAATGAGTTTGTGCGGAAAGGGTTGAAAGTTTTGTAGGACACCAGGAACCTCTTCTCGCCACTGTCAAACGGAAAAAAAATGGCGCAGTTTGGAGGTCATTACAAGGCTAGTGCAAGACAGCCAGTGCAAGACCATTATGCAAAGCACCATTGAAGGTGGACGTAGGAGAGGACCACAATGCAAAAACTGTTTAGACATTTTCAAACAATGGACACATATGACAGTACCAGAATTGCTGATGGCTACGGCTGATAGACCGTTGTGGAAACGAGTTAATGTATATTCTGCATTTGGATCCACCCTACTATTATAAATGTCAAGGTGATGATAATGATGGTAATGATGGGCCATACTTTCAGCCTTATACCACATCTAAGCTGCATTTTGTAAATTGTTATACGAGTGTGTTAGTATATATATATATATTTCTTAAGAAATAATTGATTTATTTATTAATCCGACAGACTTTCATCAATTTAAACGTTATTTTAGTGGATACTCCATTTAAATATATTAAACAATACATTTATTTATTTTTGCTTACCGGTCTGAATATTCGAGAAATCTTATTAAAGACATATATGCCCTCTCCTGCAGTCTTGGAAATTGTGTTTTCCTTTGCAGGAGAAATCTTCCTTAGACCCGACGTGGTCTAGACCAATTCAACTATGGAGTACGTCGCTGATCAAGTAAATTTGAATAGAGCCTTATAGGCGTTAATCCTTCCTATATTCTCGAAAGTACGAATCTGATCCTATAAACATATATATATATATATATATATATATATATATATATATATATATATATATATATATATACGATCCAATTCATCACACCTACAAATTCAAAAGTTTCCGAATTTGTAGGTCTGATGAATTGGATCGTATTTACGATTCCAATGGAATAAATTATGACCATAGAATATTAGTGTTTAAGCCTTTTTTTTTTTTTATATCCTTACTCTGTCCTAGACATTGAGTTCTACCTGGATTCTATCTTCTTGGAATTATTTTTTTATACATATATATATATATATATGTATGTGTATATGTATATATATTTATATAGTTTAGATATATGATTGCATATGGATGTGTATATTAATCACGAATATTATATACATACATACATACATACATATATATTCAGGGGTACAACATTAAATGTTTGCGCAACGCACATTAGAAAACGAAGTTCCGTAACAATACAAGGGGTGGTAACAAAAAAAATAACTTGCCGCAAAATGGTTATATCGAAATATAAGATCAATTATCAGAAAAGGTTTATCGGTCCACTGAAATCAGACCGAATATCCAAGAAAACTTGTGACTAAAAAAAATGCTAAAAACAAATATCATAGTGAATCTTAGGTGTCGTACAAGGCCGAAAGTATGGAGCACCCAGTGAGGATCAAACTCACTACTACAGTCATTGATACGGCGAGTCAAGCGTGTTAACCAATGCAGCATGTCAAAAAAAAAACATTGTTGGGAATATTACCCTTACAATTAAATACCATTAAGCCCACCAGACACACATTTTGCTTAGAGAGGCATGGCATATATATATATATATATATATATATATATATATATAGAGAGAGAGAGAGAGAGAGAGAGAAAGAGTGAGAGTCATATATAACTATATGACTCTAGTCATAAATCTTATAAGTATAAGAAACTATACTCGCTCGGAAAACCTTCGGTGTATTGATTTGCAAATAAACAAGCCAATACCAAAGGAAAAAAAAAGATATAAAAAAAAAAAGAAAGAACCAAGAACATGTACGTTAGCCGAAAATAATCGTCTAGCATGCAAGTTCAAAGTTCAAAGAAAAAAAAAACCGATGCGAGTACGCAAAATAACTAAATAAAATGCTCAATACAATGAATAGAGCAGACCTAGTCAAACCTAGAGAGCCAGACAAACCTACCAAGGTTTCATCTAAGCGGATCGTCAGGGAAAGCTGAGAACCAGCCTTCCCTGACGATCCGCTTTTTGGTAGGTCTGCCTGGCGTTCTAGGTTTAACTATATATATATATATATATATATATATATATATATATATATATATATATAGTCATCCACAGAGAGACTGTTTCGCTGTTTCACAGCTCATCAGTGTAGTGAGACATTCGATTGAATTTTGATGTGTTTATTCTTACATAAATAAGCCAGTCACTAGAGAACTCGATTCACCTTAACGAAGAGTCTTGCAACAGTAGCAGTTATAGTCACGGTTACAAATTCACTTTTCTCCCCGAGATCTCAGCTCGAATAAATTTTTTCAGGTATGTGTGTGTGTGTGTATATATATGAATATACTATTATAATTGCTCTTGTCTTTCTCTTCGTTAGTTCACACGATCATTACGCCCTGTCAGTAACCCATAAATTATGGTCTGTTCCGTTTTGAACGCCTGGAAAGAGGAAAAAACTACTTGGTTTCAGTGAGAAAATGAAAGAAAGAAAGAATAAGATAAAGTAGATAAAAACAGATACTACACTTTGATCTTAGCCAAAAAGCCGAGATAACATAATGACTGCGGTAAAAGCGTCATCAGACGACAGAAATCGAGTAAGGCAAATGCCCAAAATCCAGTTACCATGAATAAAACAACACCGAATGCTGAATTATGTTTTTAAATTATTGAGAGAAATGTCCCTAAAACGAAGATTTGTTTAGTTTAAGATAATTCATTTTAACAAAGAAAAGCGTACAATACAATAGTTCCTGAATAATGTCATATAAATTATGACAGTCATGCCTATTTTTTCAAATCTTTGTAATTAGTCGGAAATTGATTTTCGAAAAATATACGAGTCTGGTGTGTATACTTTTTTTACTCCTCTGGGGTTTGCCAAAGGGCATTCAGCTTTAGACTTGACGCAATAAGGTCAATATTGATTAAACTAACACAGGACTCATATGTCAACCGAGGTGGCGGGTAGTGGTGAAGAGCCAACATCTGACCATTAATTTCATTAGATTACTATGGGAAGCAGTGTGTGTAGGGCACTCCCGTAAGTCGCATACCCAAATCGTGAAGGTGTTGATGGCATGTGGCGTCCGGCACGTGTAAACAACCAATGAACCCTACGTCCTACAACATGGTTCCCTCTTAGTGTTAGAAATAGACGTAGATGGGTAGGAGGGCCCCACTGGGAAAAAAGACTCTCTATAGTGCAAAAACGGAAAGAAAGGGATGCTGTGGAGGCTGATACCAGAATAGAGGAATGGAAATATAGAAGAAGTGGGAGCAAAAATGAGGGAAGGGGATGGAGAATATTTTTTTTTAGGGGGGCTTTTAGGTAAGAAAAAAGGAAAAGAAAACGAAATATATTCTGAAAGAGAAAGAATTTAATAAGAAAATAAAAAAGAGCGAATAGAATGAAAAGAAAGAAAGAAAGAAAGAAAGAAAGAAAGAAAGAAAGAAAGAAAGAAGTGTTCGTACTGAAGAAAAGGCAAACGAGAGGAAAAATAATATTGGAAAGGTCAAAAAAAGAAGAAAGGACATATCGTCAAATGAAAAGAAATAAAGATAAAAATAAAAAAAAACGGATATATTGATAAACGGAAAGAAAGAAAGAAAGAAAGAAAGTAAGAATGAATGAATGAATGAAACAAAAAAAGAAGTGTTCGTACTGAAGAAAAAGAAAGCGAAAAGAAAATAATATACACAAGGTTAGAAAAAAAAAAGAAAAGAAAGAAAGAATCGTTCGCACGGAAGTAAAGGAAAGCGATTTAATATAGACAAGGTGCAAAAAAGAAAGAAGAAAGATCATGTCGTCAAAGTTAAAGAAAGAAAGAAAGAAAGAAAAGTGTGAAATGAAGAAGACATGGAAAAAATATTGAAATGAAAAGAAAAATAGGAACAAATAGAGAGACTGCGCATAGGAACAATAGAAGGAAGAGAAAGAAGAAGAAAAATGAATGAAAGAAAGTAAATAGAAAGAAGAATATGAAGAATGGAAAAGGAAAGAAAAGGAAAAGAATGGGAAAAAAATTTATAAGCCGGAAAAAATGTGAGAATTGTAAAAGAAAGAGAGTTAAAGAGAAATTGAAAAGAAAGACGAAAGAAAAATAAAGAAAAAAAGAAGAAAAGGAATGATGCAGATTTCTAAAGAGATTATAGCATAAGGAAAAAAAATATAAAACAACGTCACAGATATCAGAGTGAAAGAATGAAAGAGATAATATGAGAAAAATACATGTTCGAACATTGCATAAAGTGATGAAAAATGTCGCCATTTTTGCAATTATTTTTTTACTCTCAGCCTCATCTTGTGATATATTTCATTTAGAATTTCCTTTTAGAAACTTGTTATGCGAGACTTAAAACAAAGTCAAACACGGCAAGACAATGTATAAAAAAGATATTTCTGTCGTCATAATAAAAAAAAATCATTAACAAGCAACACCAACCCACTGTAGGATTTAAATAACGGGTCATAGGGTCAATGGTGTCATTTTCATACACAACAGTCCATTTAAAAAGAAGGGAAAAAACAGATAATAGTTGAAGTTACTTTTAACGAGTGACGTTTCCTGGGACGGCGCATGCGCGCAGATGTTTATTTATCAGTATGATTCAAGTCAGTTCTATTAGCATAACGAAGGAGATAAGTAAATAATTATGCACAATCTTTGCTTGCTTGAAGTTAATGGATTTGTTGTTAATGTTGATAAATAATACAAAGAAAGGATTATTTAGATATTATCACTCGGCTTGCTATGTAAAATTGATTTAAAATCGTGAAATCGAATAGAATGGTATAATAATTAGTAGCTGACTGAGAGAGGCTTCTCTAGAAGGAGTTAATCTGAATGCAAAACAGTTGAGAAGACAACGGGAAACCAATCCATTAATTTTCCCAAAAAGTCATGCCAGTTCACAAGAAATCAAATATGTGTAGCGAAACATGATCACCTATGTGATGGGTCTCAAACACACGGCCCACGGGAAACCATTTTCATGATTAATATAATCCTCCAATTTTAATAAATCCTCCCTTCTTTATCATCACGCTCACTAAAGCAAATGGTTTCAAACTATTAACACACAACAACCCGGTGATTTAACAAAAGACAAAAGGCAACTTTTACTCTGTTTGGGATCAAATGAAGGTACTTAGAACACCATTTGACATGACTGAAAATTTCGAATTCATTAAAACAAAAATCTTATTTTTGTTAACACTTTGTACGCACATATTCATATGTGCATTAATTTGGATTAAGAAATGGCAGATAATTGGGAGCTTAGCTGTTCAATAGTATATCACTAACTCACTTTACCCACATGACAATAGGCATGACGCCTGTCGCTGTGTAGATGCCCAAAGAAAATTTTGAAACTTCCGAAAAAAAATTTGCACCCCAGTCTGTGAATGCAATACGAACTAATTTTAATGCAATAAAAGGCTCTTCTTCCAATATGCACCCACTAACTCAATTTACTGGCCATGCCTATCGCCATCTTGGTACCCAACGAAAATTTTGCAACTACCGAAAAAAATTATACCCCCATCTGTGAATGTGATGCTAACTAATGTTAATGCAAGAAAATGCACTTCTTCAAACCTGAGTTAATACCCTCCTTATTGGCAATCCGCTGTTAAGAGGCCTGCTGCTAACCAACTTTAACTCTCACTCAACTGGTGATAGCCTTTTTATACTCTTGACTTTGAGACTACGGGCCTATGTACTGAATTGTTGGACATGAAAAATCTTTTAACGCCAAAAGCAATACATCTCCTTAGGGTAGTGTGTTAATGTTAACTCCAGCTGACTGAGGTGTTCCAAAAAGGAAAGATGCAGAATGGTGATTGAGTAAATTTTGTCCCTATTTTCTTGAACGTCTGGTAGTTTAAATTTGGCCTTGAACCAACATAGAATTTGAATTGCATATCTTAAACTGATTAATACCATTTTCCTATCACCCACAGAGAATAGCCGTCGCCTTATAAGCAAACATTCATTAACCGTGCAGCTAATATTGTTGTCGGGTGAAATTTATAAAATTTTTCTCTAAAACAATTTTTCAGGAGAAAGATGTTTCTCAAATCTAGTATCGGTTATCGCTCTTTCCAATGCGGACGAGGGCTTCATTCTTAACTTTTTATTTAGAGTTGTATGGAACGTCGACATCATTACGTCATTATTTTCTCTTATATGAGTTACAAGTGCTATTCATTTTAATTGTTGTTGCTATTGATCGCCCTATAATGATGTGGTCTAAGTTATTTAGTATAGTCCTTCCTTTGCGATACTGTAGCGCCATTCCACAATATTCAAAGAAGTACGGTCTACGCTAAGACCCACAGGCTTCACTGGCTGAAGGCCATTTTTAACCATAGGTCTTGATGATTGTTGTATACAAGTGACTGCTTAAATATATTTGCACGGGTTTAGCACCATGTCTGCCATTCATATGAAGGTCTGACGACGCTATTTAAGAAGTTTCCAGTTTAATGTTTTAGTTCTGTAGCAACTGACAGTGTTGGGTGAAACTATCTCTAGTGGAGCTTATTCAATTTCCTTTACTCCTATACTAAATTTGTTGTAACTGATCAGTACACCGATGTATTTGAAATATTTTGTATTTAGAAACAACACATCCTGATTTTTCTGTGATGGATTCTATCATTGCTTTTATTTCAATTTCAGAAGCATTAAGGAAGTAGATGAATATAAAACATTTTTTAATGAAGCTTCTAAATTGTCAAATTTTGCTAATCACATCTGTCGCATGTTTTCCGCTAAACTATAATGAGTAGCTCTGATATTTTTCGGACTATGACTCGTGCTAAACGTGAAAAGATTAGAAATATAAACTTAGACAAAATCTAAACGAAAAGCCATGAATTGAATAAAGCGTGCAGCAGAATCAGACCAGAAATAGGACAAGAACAGCGTGGGTTCGTTAAAGACACTGGAACAAAGAATGCAATATTTATGCTCAGATTGATATCAGAAAGAAGGTGTACTTGCATTTTATAGAATACTAGCAGTAGAGCCCGGCGTTGCCCGGGGATGTAACAGTAAGAGATAGATCAAGTATCGACCATCATAAAGACTGAAAAATAAAATTGACAAAGATTATTGTTTAAGGTTGACGGACATGCATGTCTTAATTAGTTTATTTTTGTTTTTTTGTTTTTTGTTTGTTTGTTTTTTTGTTTTTTTTACGAATTGGTCAAACCCAAATTCAAACAAAAACATTGTTTTCAATCGTTATGAGTCTACCGATTGAATAGAATTTTATTATAAACAATTGTCTTGTAAGTGGAATTTTTAAAGCATTCTGAATGTAAACATAAAGAAAAAATGTGTGCAAGACAATAAGAAACACTACCTGCCAAAAAAAAGTTTTGTTAAAATCGGTTGAAAAATGTAGGAAATCGGATCCCATATATAAAGGAACACAGACACACACACACAAACAACCTGGGTTTTATAATAAGTATAACTCGATATGAGTTGTCCCCCTTTCATTCTCGACAGCGATGCCTCTTAATCGTGTTTTCAAGTTGATTTTGTGCAAAAACACTTGTGTATTTCCAATTTTCGGCGCTGTCAGAACCACCGCAAGGTAACTTTACGTAGTCCTGTGACGTTTTGTTGAAATCGGTTGAAAAATATAGGAAATCCGATCCAATATATAAACGTACAGACACACACACACACAACCTGGGTTTTATAATAAGTATGATGCAGAAGCTTTTGAGAAAGTACGTCACAAAAACCGTTGGAACTGCGTGCTAACCATGATAACTTTGGGAGTGATATTAGAATAATCCAAAATCTATACTAGCAGCAGACCGTTTGCATACGGATTTAAGATTAGCGCAGCAAATCTACAAATATAGAAAGAGGTGTAAGACAAGGATGTGTATTTTCATCAGATTTATTCAACTTATGCCTTGAGGCGCTTCTGAGAGAATTAGAAGTCCTATGAGGATTCATTATTGGCAGCCACAATCTTAACATAATAAGATATGCAGATGACACAGTGTTGATAGCAGACAAGAGAAATGAGATTCTACATGAAGAGTCTGAGAATACCGTGGACCGAACATTTAGAGAAAAGGGAAACAAAAAGGACCTTTATATTTTTAATTTTTATCATTTGACTCTAAGCAAAGCAATAATGCTACTAAAATGCAAGAAGTTCTGAGACTACAAGTGACATACATAGCATTCATCATCACTATTTTAATAGTAACATTCTACCTTGAGTGGATGCCAAACCTTGTATTAGGTAAAAATAAGTGGTTAATAAATAAACGGTCTTCTCTCTCTCTATCTCTTCACACGCAGATATATATATATATATATATATATATATATATATATATATATATATATATATATATATATAGATATAATTTCTACATATATATTATTTATATATTATATATACATAATTACTTATTGAAAAGCCTTCAATATCAGTGATAGAGCTAACATACATACTTGTAACCCTTTTGGTCTGACCCAGGGTCATAAACTCTCATTAATAAAAGTATATATATATATATATATATATATATATATATATATATATATATATATAAATATATATATATATATATATATATATATATATATATATATATATATATATATATATATATATATATATATATATATATATATATATATATACAGTAGCGTCCAAAACTAAGGACAAAATTTTAAAACCTAATATTTGTTAGAAATAACAACTGTGAAAAGCTGAAATTTTGACAACTGGTAGTCGTTATCATCCATAATAACATACTAAAATTTGAATCATTTGCAAAGGATAGAAAAAGAATTATAACAATTATTTATTTATTTTCAAATTTAGAACGTCCAAAAGTAAGGGACAAAATTCAGAAAAACAATGTAAACGGCAAAAAAACAATAAAAATACATGTACAATCAATATTTAGTAAATAAGCCCTTGCTCTCAATGACAGCTGCACATCTTCGACTACAAGAACGAATCAGTTCTTGACAATCCTCGATACTAATTTTAGACCATTCTTCTTGAAGCTTCACCCACAAATCCTTCGTGTTAGTGGGATTTCTTTCCATCACTTTCACTCCTAAGGTCTTCCAAAGATTTTCTATTGGATTTAAGTCAGGACTTTGCGGTGGACAATCTATAATTTCCAAATCTTGCTCGCTAAGGTAACTCACCTTTGCCTTGTGACATGGGGCATTATCTTGCATA